GTCCAGGACACTCACGTGTTGTGATTTCTCTTCTCATTCTAAATAAATATTCACTTTTGTACCTAATTTTTGATTTGTAATTTTTCTTCCTTTTTCTTTTGAGAAAGGGTCTCACTCTGTCACCCAGGCTGGAGTGCAGTGGTGTCATCATGGCTCACTGCAGCCTCAACCTCCTGGGCTCAAGTGATCCTCCTGCCTCAGCCTTCTGAGTAGCTGGGACCACAGGTGCACGCCACCAGGCTAGGTTAATTTTTTTGTTTTTTTTTAGACAGAGTCTCTCTGTTGCCCAGCTAGAATGCACTGGTGCAACCTCGGTTCACTGCAATCTCTGCCTCCTGGGTTCAAGCAATTCTGCTGCCTCAGCCTCCCAAGTAGCTGGGACTACAGGCACGCACCACCACACCTGGCTAATATTTGTACTTTTAGTAGAGATGGGGTTTCACCATGTTGGCCAGGCTGGTCTCAAACTCCTGACCTCAGGTGATCTGCCTGCCTTGGCCTCCCGAGGTGCTGGGATTACAGGTATGAGCCACCACACCTGGCCCAATTTTTATATTTGTTTTAGAGATGGGGGTCTCACTATGTTGCCCAGGCCAGTCTTGAACTCCTAAGCTAAAGCAATCCTCCCATTTCAGCCTCCCAAAGTGCTGGGATTACAGGCATAAGCCATCGCTCCCAGCCATAATTTCTCTTACAGAAGTTTCCCAAATAAGTATCAGCTCCCCACAAAAGTTAGATCTGCCCTGGAGGGGGAATTCGGTAAAAGTGTACTGAATGAATAAAAGAATGAATCAGGCTGGGCCCGGTGGCTCACGCCTATAATCCCAGCACTTTGGGAGGCTGAGGCGGGTGGATCATGAGGTCAGGAGTTGAGACCAGCCTGGTCAAGATGGTGAAACCCCGTCTCTACTAAAAATACAAAAATTAGCTGGGTGTGGTGGCAGGAGCCTGTAATCCCAGCTATTAGGGAGGCCAAGGCAGAGAATCACTTGAACCCAGGAGATGGAGGTTGCAGTGAGCCAAGATTGTGCCACTGAACTCCAGCCTGGGTGACAGAGAGAGACTCCATCTCAAAAAGAAAAAAAAGAATCAATCGATGGATCAATCAGAAGTAATTAGAGTAAAATACAGGCATAGGGAAAATAGTATGCGCAAATACTCTCCTCCTAGCCTCTGGCTCTGCCTGGACATTCGGAAGTTTGCTTGATGAGTCAGCTGTGTTGAGGGGATCACCTACCTGCTGGCTTTGGCAGGTGCTTTGAGTTTTGGAAGCTTTGGAGCCTCAGTCCACAGGATGCACAGGGATTGAAATCCACTGGAACTAGAAACAGCCTTTTCTTGGCTTCCCAGCTTGGCCTGCCAGCTTTCTTCTCACTTTCTAATTGAATGAGGTGACTTGGAAGAGAGAAGTGTGGAGAGCTTGAGTTAACTCCTGTTCCCAAGCCTCTTTTTTTTTTTTTTTTTTTTTTTCCAGACAGGGCCTCTTGCTCTTTTGCCCAGGCTAGCACACAGTGAAAACAGCTCACTGCAGTCTTGACCTCCCAGGCTCAAATGATCCTCTTGCCTTAGCCTCCGAGGTAGCTGGGACTACAGCCACGCACCATCACATCCAGCTAATTTTGCATTTTTTTGTAGAGGTGGGGTCTTACTATGTTGCCCAAGCTGGTCTCGAACTCCTGGGATCAAACAGTCTGCCCGCTTAGGCTTCCCAAAGTGCAGGGATTACAGGTGTGAGCCACTGCCTCTGGCTTCCCAGGCCCTTTTGACCCAATGGGGAAACAGTAGTTGAGAGTATCCTGGGCAAGGGTCACTTTTCCTGTCTCTGAAATGGATGAAGGCCCCACTGTTTTTTAATAGACTGTTTTTTAGAGTAGTTTTAGGTTCACTGTAAAAGTGAGAGGAAAGTGCAGAGAGTTCCCTTATCCTCTTGCGCCCATCCATACAAGCCTCCCCCATTATCCACATCCCCCATCAGAGTGGTACATATGTTACAATCAATGGACCTACATTGGCACACCGTTATCACCCAAAGTCTATGGTTTACACTGGAGTTCACTCTTGGTGTACACCCTACGAAGACCCCACTTTTTACAGGTTTGTTGTGAGAACTGGACTCTATCTGAAATTCCCTGGACTTAATTTGTGGCAGTTGTTAAACAATGCTCACTTCTCTCCCGGTTTTCCTTGGAACCTCCCAATAGCAACCTAATTGAATGGGAAGTTTGATCACATTAAAGAATTGACTCAGCTTAGGGCTGGCATTGTCCAACTTGTGTCACTACTCTAAGAAATGGCCTTGTCTCCAGACCAGAACTCACCATAACATGATCCTGAGGTGGGTCAGTCCATCCCCCATCCTTTGTCTCCTGTTTCAGTCTAAACAATGGAGAAGTCTAAACAATGGCCAATACGGTGACATCCCATCTCTACTGAAAATACAAAATTAGCCGGGCGTGGTGACGGGCACCTGTAGTCCCAGCTACTTGGAAGGCTAAGGCAGAAGAATTGCTTGAACCCGGGAAGCAGAGGTTGCAGTGAGCCAAGATTGCGCCACTGCATTCCAGCCTGGGTGACAGAGAGAGACTCCGTTTCAAAAAAAAAAAGAAAAAAATAGTCTGCCCAGGGAACTCGTGATAATTGGTGCACTACACCTAAGTGTTTGCTGCGTAGTTGCAAACACCATTGTTTCTTCCAGTGGAACACTGTTCTATAAGTTACAGCGAGGAGGGATTTCACCAGTGTGGTTGGCAAGGTCTGCGCTTTAGTTTGAAGTTCATGGTGCCACCTCTGTTATGCAAAGAACTTGGCCAGGGTCCTGAAGTAGAAAACGAGGAGAAGGCCACAGGTCCAAGAGTTTTCTTTTTTGAAATGGAGTCTCGCTCTGTCACCCAGGCTGGAGTACGGAGGCGTGATCTCCACTCACTGCAACCTCCGCCTCCCGGGTTCAAGCGATTCTTCTGCCTCAGCCTCCTGAGTAACTGGGATTACAGGCATGTGCCACCATGCCCAGCTAATTTTTGTATTTTTAGTGGAAACAGGGTTTCATCATGTTGATCAGGCTGGTCTCGAACTCCTGACCTCGTGATCCACCCACCTCGGTCTCCCAAAGTGCTGGGATTACAGGTATGAACCACTGTACCCAGCCAGGTCCAAGAGTTTTCTAATCATCAGAAGACCAAATGGGACAGACATGGCCAGCTGTTCACCAAAAGCCATTTCATCCTTCTCCAATAGTAGGGCTACAATTCCCAGCCTTCCTGTGAAGAGCTGTGGCCATGTGACCAAGTCCCAACTGTATGGGAGGAAGTTGTGGATGTCACTTCCAGGCATGGCTCAGGAAACATTGTTCAGTGCTTCTCCCTTGAGCTTCTTTCTCCTTTGGACCGACTGGAGCCAGGCCTTGATGGCCCATCTTTGACCACGCAGATGATGATAAAACCATCAGATGGCAAAACCGTCTGCTACCATAGATGACTCTATGTAGTAGAGCTCACCTATCCATCTTGGACTGATTTGTGGGAGAGAAATAAACTCCCTTGTTTGAGTCCTTGCATTTTATAATGCTAACGTTAATGAGATATCATTTACATGTGGTGAAATACACAAATCTTACGTGTACAGTTTGGTGGATTTTAGCAAAAGTATACACCCCTATAACAACCAGCCTAAACACTATATAAAATACTCCCATCTTCCCTGTAAGTTCTCTCATTACCCTTTCTAGGCCATCCCAACCTCTGTCCCCACTCCCCAGGTAAACACTGTTCTGATTTCTCTCAACTTAGTTTTGCCTATTTTTGAACTTCATATAAATGGAACCATACAGTATGAACTCTTCTGTATCTGGCTTCTCTCATTCAACATAATGTTTTTGAGACTGATCCATGTTGTTAAATGTTTTCAGGAATTTTCTTGTTTATGGTGAGTAAAATTCCAATGTAAGAATATACCAAAAATTGTTTATCCATTCTCTTATTGATGGACATTTGGATTGTTTCTACTTCTTGGCTATTATGAATAAAGTGGCTACAAGCAGGCTTTAAACAATTCTTTTTGTAGACTATTTTTTTCTTTTTTTTTTGAAACGGAGTCTCTCTCTGTCACCCAGGCTGGAATGCAGTGGCGCAATCTTGGCTCACTGCAACCTCTGCTTCCCGGGTTCAAGCAATTCTTCTGCCTTAGCCTTCCAAGTAGCTGGGACTACAGGTGCCCGTCACCACGCCCGGCTAATTTTGTATTTTCAGTAGAGATGGGATGTCACCGTATTGGCCACGCTGGTCTCGAACTCCTGACTTTGTGATCTGCCCATCTCAGTCTCCCAAAGTGCCAGGATTACAGGTGTGAGCCATCGCGCCTGGCCTGACTTATTTTTTTTAAATCTCTCTTGGATAGATACCTGGGAGTAGAACTGTTGGGTCACAGCTTAGAAGCATATTAAACTTAATTAGAAACTGCGATACAGTTTTCCAAACATTCCTGTCAGCATGTGTGGGTGTGCCATTTGCTCCACATCCTTGCCAACACAAGTCCTTTTCAATTTTAGCCATTCAATGCAGTGGCAGAGAGCCATTGCGTTTTTAGGACTTTTTTTTTTTTTTTTTTTTGAGGCAGTGTCTCACTCTGTCAACCCGTGTGAAGTGCAGTGATCATAGCTCACTGTAATCTTGAACTTCTGGGCTCAAGAGATCCTCCTGTCTCAGCCTCCAGAGCTGCTAGGATGGCAGGCACATGCCACTGCACCCAGCTGACTTAGTGTTTTTTTTTTTTTTTTTTTTTTTTTTTTTAGAGAGACAGAGTCTTGATATGTTACCCAGGCTGGTCTTGAACTCCTGGCCTCAAGCAATCCTCTTGCCTTGACCTCCCAAAGTGCTGGGATTACAGGCATGAGTCACCACACCTGGTCCATCTGATCCTGGACTTTTTTTTTAACAGCAGTTTCACTATTATCCTAATACATGCAAGGTAGACATGGGAAGAAGGAGGAATGGTATATGCTTGAAGGTCAGTGGTCATGTTTGTTCCTATGCGACCTGGCTGCGGGCCTCTGAGGAGGCCTTGGCAGGTAATACTGGTTAATTATCTAATAAAGCAAAGGCAGATGGAGTCAGATGGACCTCAGTATAAATTCCAGATCTTACAAGCCACTAGACTGTGACAAGTCACCTATCCCCTCTGTGTTGGGTTCCCTCCACGTTAAAGGAAGATAATAATGAACGTACCTTGTGGTGTTATTCCAAGGCTTTAGTAACATGCTTCACAGGGCACTTGGCATGCTGGAGGCTGGGCACCAGTCACAGCTCGGATTCTAGGGCAGGACTCTTGCTCCTGGAGGATGAGCAAGGAAGATGCAGAGCCCCGACCTCTGGACCCTCATTCTAGACCTTTCAGTGGGTTTGGGTTAATAGAAGCCTGTCCACCAACACAGCACTGCATCCTTGAGACTGACTTTCCATACAAAGCTGGTGGAAGTTCATGAGGTGAGTTGGAAGTTGACCAACACCAGCTGTGGCACCAGAAGTTCTGATACAAGTGAGGTTGGGAGTGACCAAAAGAAGTCCCCATCGAAGTTGGGCTGGTGGCAGGGAGCAAGGGGGATCACCCATGAAGGAGGCTCAGGAATCCAGCTAGGAGACAGCAAGTGGTTTACTTGGGTGTTCTGGTGATGTTGCTTTAGGGAACACCATGTTTTTTGGAGACATGGGAAGGATCTAGATGTCTAACAGTAGGAATTTGGTTAAATAAGTGATTTGTGTGTGGGGGTAATACTTTGAAGTCATGAAAATGATGCTCAAGGTGGGTGTTTATGTATTGGGAAAGATAATCACCATTTTTTTACACCATTAAGAGATAAAGATATATACCTTATATACCTTTTTATCTTAGCAATTTGCTTTGTTCCTTAACAAGGGGTGGTCCTTTTTTAGTTAAAACTCAGATACATACCACACATACACACACACACACACACACACACACGAATGGCTGGAAGAATATACTCCAGGGCGCCTGTTGTTATCTCTGGATAATAAGATAATATAAATGATCTTACTTTTTCTTTCTTCGTGATTATCTGTATTTTCTCAATTCTAACATGCATGAATTTTGTAATTAGAAATTGGAGTTGGCATTTCACACTACAGGGTGCTTATACCTGATCATGGCAAAGGAGGCAGCTTTTAAAGGAAAGGAAATGCATAGTGAAATGGAATTATGCACCCAAATCATTTCTCCTCATCATTAGAGGTGAATGTGTTTGCCACTGCTACGCTGTTAAAGATGACACTCACTTCAGACTGCAAAGAACATGGATGAATAACCTGGAAGTGATCCAGGCATCCATCCTCACAGGACAGTGTGAGGTTGGAGCTTGGTAAGGCTCAGGCGGGCCCAGAGTAGATGTCAGGGCCTTACGTGCCAGCTTCCACCTGATGGCGAAGTCTGTGGGGTTAGTTGTCCATTTTCTCTTCATGTGAGGGTTCTGTGGCTGAAAGGATGGGGCCGATTCTCAGACAACCCCAGAGCACAGGAGAAGCCAGAAGGCTTGCAGGCAGGCATAAGAGCGGTGCATGGAATGCCTTCCAGGATGCCTAGGTACCCAGGGGCAGCTCCGGGGGAATATCAGAGCTGAAAATTGGGTCAATAGGTGCTTGCTTTTGTTTCAAATCAAGGCAAGTGGGTTTTGTATGCTCTGTGTACAAATGTATTGTTTTGGTAAAGAAATCAGAAAATGTTGATAAGTTGCTATTTTAGAGATGAAGAGTCATGGAACCTTTGCACTGAAAGGAACCTAGGAAAGCATGTACATTCCCCTTTCACAGAAGACTCACCGGAGGCTCAGAGATGTTAAGAGATTTCTCAAGGTCATGGGTAGTTGGCGGTAGATCAGGGCTAGAATCCAATTCCATGACTTCAAGTCTGTCATTCCTCCTGGCTTTCCCACTGCTATCAGTTAAGAACTTTAAAATACAAACTGTGTTAATGAGAAAAGTGACGTGCTTCACCTAACTGAAAGTCCACAGGACGGTGGCCCGTAAGTGTTGTAAGACAGCAGCTCAGCGAGACCACTGAGGTCCTGGGTTCGTTCACCCCCTCACTGTGCCTTAGTTTCATCCTCAGGCTAGTCCCCCGCATGACCACACGTGCATCGCTGACTTTCCCTTCCGCCTCCATTTAGGTCACGTGCTTACCCCAGACCAATAACTGCTACCAGGGAAGACCAAGCTCTGATGGGCTTACCCTGACCAGCTCCCACCTCCTGAGCTGGGGCTGGGTCTGCAGGGGAGCAGATACCTGAACAAAATTGGAGTTTTGATAACAACAAAGAAAATATAATTTTACTTAAAGTGATCCAAGGGACACTGAGTCAGCCATTCATGAAGCGGAACATGGTGAATGCCAAGGTGAAGAGCAGCCGCATGAGATCCTAAAGGAAAGCCTGGGAGTCACACAAGTGGAGTACAGCAGCAAACCCCCTCCACAGCCTGCCCTTGACTTTGGTCTTGCCAGGGAACAGTTGATGCCGACAAGATGACGCAGCGGGGAAGTGAATATCCTGTCTGCTCCTTGTTCGGTGCTGTCTGTGTGTCCTAGCTTGCCAAAGCATCCCTTAAAAGCCCCTGGGTCCAAGCATCCAGATGCTCAGTGAACACAGTGCTCTAACTCCGTCTTCCACCTTCCATTAAGAAGTCAATGACTCTCATTCAATACAACTCCATCTTCTGCTAACCCCTAAAAGGAATTTACATTCTGCTCATTTCACTTCCCATTATATTGTATTAATCTTCCCAACATTAAACCTTTTAAACCCAGTATTTTCAATGTTTTAATCTATTCCACTGAGTTAATAATAGATTTCTACTCTTGCAAAAAGCATTTCTACATTTCAGGGCATTTATTTAGACTGTTTCCAAGCTTTCCTTTTCATAAACAAACGCTGCCACTAATATTCTTATATCTAAATGTTTAACCTATATCTCTGATATCATTGAGCTATATTTCTAGAAGTGTCTTTCTAGTATGAAGTATAGGAACATTTTTGTAAATATTGTTAAGTTTCTTTCCATATTTTGGAAGACCGTCATTAGAAGGATACCTGTGACACTGCACACTTGCCAGCATTGTAAACCACTGGTCTCTGATCATTGACACTTTCATGGGTCCCAAATTCTTTTTTCCAAAATGCCATTTTAGTCAAAGCTCTTAGAATTGGCTTATGCCTTTTGTTTTGTTATTCCAAGTGATACGTGATACTCTCAGAAGGCTCTCTCCTTTGATTTCCCAACACCCTTTCCCTTCCTCTCGTAAACACACCCTATTTAAGCTGGAAGTGGTGGAATCCCTGGAAGCCTACACTCAGAAATCAGTCCAGCATATTTCTAGGGAGCGAGTTTTTCTGAGAACAGCAATTCCAGCCAGCTAAAACTTATTGAGCATCCTCCGCCTGAGGAAGACACAGTTATCCAGTGGAGTTGGCGTCTTGGGGCCCACACACCTGGGAGGCAGGTAGGTGCCCACGGCGGGGCTGCAGGAGGCCAGGACAAGCAGGGCTGGGAGATACTTAGTGTAATAGATGACTACAGAGACCAGGGAACTGAAGGTCAAAGGCAGGAATATAGGCATGAATGAAGCCAGGAAGCTACTTCCCAGAACAATTAGGCTGTTGCTGAGAATGATAATGATAATGCAATAATTATGATTTACTGTTTACTATTTGCCAGGCATTTTATGTATGTTATTTTGCTTCTTTCCTATAGCAACTCCAGGATATGTATACGATTTATGTCTCCGTTTTGCAGAGATGTGAAATAATGTTCCTAATGCCACCCAGCAAGTTAGGGGCAGAGGGAAGTTTGAGCTTTGGCAGCCTGGGCCTGTCGTTCCCACTGCGCCCCTCCCGAGGCGGGAGCCCAGGCAGATGGCTGAATGAGCTGTGGCGAGTGGCAGGCACAGAGGCCACCATCAGGGTTTCTCTGTGACAAGTGTGTGTGGCTGAGCCCTCCCACAGAATGTTTCAGGGTAGACCTGGACCATGTGGGGTTTACAAGGATCAAGTTCCACTAATTAACATCTGCCATGTGAACTCTTGGAGATTTGTGAATAAACTGCTAAGACAGTTGGGTGCAGTGGCTCACGCCTGTAATCCCAGCACTTTGAGAGGCTGAGATGGGCAGATCATGAGGTCAGGAGTTTGAGACCAGCCTGACCAACATGGTGAAACCCCATCTCTACTAAAAATACAAAAATTAGCCAGTTGTGGTGGTGTGTGCCTGTAATCCCAGCTACTCAGGAGGCTGAGGCAGGAGAATCACTTGAACCCAGGAGGCGGAGGTTGCAGTGAGCTGAGATCGTGCCACTGCACTCCAGCATGGGTGACAGAGTGAGACTCCATCTCAAAAAAAAAAAAAGAAAAGAAAAGAAAGTGCTAAGACGGGCGTCACAAGGAGTCAGGGAGGTCCTGAAGAAGGTGGCATTTGAGAAAGTGAAGAAGAGCTGGGGAGGTTTTGACAGGCAGAGAAGGTAGTGAAGACATGCTATCCGCTTATATGTGGCCTGGGAAGGCTACGAGGAAAGCCAGCAACCCTTAATTGCTCCAGGACTAAGTGCTGAAGGGGCCTTTTAAAGCCTGGATCTGAGAGATCACTCTCTGAGTCTCCAACTGGGAACAGTGACTAGTTAAGCTATCAGTCAAGAAGCTGCCAGCACTTCACTTGGACTGAAAAGCAATTCCCAGTGGAGCCCTTGTGGGCCCCGGGAGATGGGTTTCACAAAATCTCTTCCACCTGTGGGTCACCAGGCTGGCTCTGTTCCCATGCAATAAGTTGTTGGGAAAATGGTCTTTGCCAGAGTGGCAGATGGCCCTTTTATCAGGACTGTACAGGACTTCAGCTGCCAGACTGATTTCTTTTTAAGGTTTATTTTTATTAAAAGCTAAGTGAAGCAGTCTGGGGCAGTGCTGTGCAATAGAACTTTCTGTGATGGTGGAAATGTTCTATGCTGTGTTTAGTGTGGCAGTCACTAGTCACATGCAGCTATGCAGCAACTGAAATGTGACATATGCCACTGAGATAATGAATTTTTCACTTCACTTAATTTCAATTCATGTACGCTAGTGGTTACTGTATTGGACAGTGTAGGGCTGAGGGATCTTGGGATGAAACGAAGAATCATGCAAATTAGCCAACGAATTTGCAGAAACAGCTTCTCTAGTCATGTGCGAAGTTGACAGGGTCCTGGTCATATAGAGTAGGAGAATCTTACACCATGTTTCGAAAGGGGACATGCAAACATGTATTTCTAATTAGTAGGTGTGCTGTTCTATAGACCCTGTACGCTAGTAATCAGGTGCAGGGGTGACAAGCCAACTTGGGTGTGCAAAGTATAGAACAGAAAAGAAAAGAAATGCTTTGAGATCTCTAATTAAAAATTTCAAGATGTTGCTTTTGATAATTGTGTTGTTGTCACTATCCTAAAGACAGCTATAGTTTTCCCCTTTGATCACAGACCATCGAGTTTCATTTTTTGGGGGGCGGGGGGTGGGGGAATAAATAATTATTTTCTTTTTTCTTTTTCTTTTTTTGATACAGGGTCTTGCTGTGTCACCCAGGCTGGAGTGCAGTGGCATGATCTTGGCTCACTGCAACCTCTGCCTCCTGGGTTCAAGCGATTCTCCTGCCTCAGCCTCTCAAGTAGCTGGAACTACAGGTGCATGCCACCACACCCAGCTAATTTTTGTATTTTTAGTAGAGATGGGGTTTTGCCTGTTGGCCACGCTGGTCTTGAACTCCTGACCTCAAGTAATCCACCCGCCTCAGCGTCAGAAAGTCCTGGGATTACAGGCCTGAGTCACTGTGCTCAGCCAAGAATTCCTTTCTTAGTGGGCATAATAATAGCTAGTCTTCATTGAGTGCCTACTGTGTGCCATGTGCCTTCAATATGTTATCTTTCATACTCACATAAACACCCCATGATGGGTGTTACTGAGACCATTTGCATTTGAGAAAATTGAAGCCAAGAGGAGGTAAGCGATCTTATGAGTGTTAGAGTTCCAAATTATGTGTTCTTTATGTTGAGTCCATCTTTAGAACACAAGAAAGTAACCCCACCTGTAAGTTGGAGGTGGTAAAATCCCTAGAAGTCCGCACTCAGAAATCAGTCCAGTTTATTTCTAGGGAGCTAGTTTTTCTGAGAATTCCAGCCATCCAATTCTGGAATCTCTGACACCTTAAATTTCCAAATACAAAAAGTAGTTTGACCTGCACTTCATATAGTAATCACAGGACTATAAATGATCAGAGCAGGGTGGGAACTTCGAGATCTTCTTGTCAAAATACTTATTTTACAGATGAGAGACTGATGCCAGTGTTTGCTATTTGCCAGGCACTGACTAGCACCACTGACCAGCAAGTTAGCCTCAGGGCTAACGTGAGGAAGGGGATGGGGCGGGCCAGTTACTTGTAATAATTTATGTTGAATCTACAATTTGGTTGAGTTCCAGAGTGGAGTCACAGTTAACTGTGCAACTGAAAGCAGTTTCAAAACCCTTGGGAAAACTCCCCCATTACCTCCAAACCTTCCTAATTCTATTCTTATTCTCTTTCCCCCTCATTCTATAAGATTTTTATTATATACATTGATATAATTTCTTCCCTAACTCCCCCATCTCTCTAATTTGCTCCTTTTTGCCCTTTACAGAAAAACCAAGAAAACCATATTGTTTGGGTAGATTTTTTCTTTGAAGAGCTGGGGGTCAGGAGAAGGGGAGAGAATGAAAACTCTGGCTGCCAAAGCTAGAGTCCTCTGGAGGGTTGCTCAGGGTGTGGGCCCAGGCTGAGAACATTCACATGAGCCATTTCCATCCCATCTCAGTACAAAACACAAATGTGACATGTGACTAGGGAAGACCGAGAAGTCAGCTATACCTTGCTGTGGTCAACAGTTAGCAGCCAACCCAATAAGCCATTCCTTCACACCTTTTTCTTGCTAATAAAACCCTGATTTGATCTGAGTAACAGTGACAGATTCAGATGACGAAACATTACTAGTCTAAGCTAATCATGACTAGCTTGCTACCTTTCACCAGCTAGTTGATTTACCAAGCTCCTTTGCAGCTGATGGTGGCGATGAGGTCTAGTTTGGCCCAGGACACTGGCAGACAAAATAATGGCATCCCCAGGATGTCTGCATCCTAATCTTCAGAACCTAAGACTATGTTAGTTACAAAGCAAGGAGGAATTAAGGTTGTAGATGGAATTAAGTTTGCTAATCAGCTGAAATGAAAATAGGGAGATTATCCAGGTGGACCCAGTATAATCACAAAGATCCTGAAATATTAAAGAGAGAGGCCAAAGAGATGGTGTCAGAGAGATGCAGCATGGGAAAGGCTCAACCAGCCATTGATGGCTTCAGATATGGAAGGGGTCATGAGCCAAGGAATGCAGGAAGCCTCTAAAAACTGGAAAAAGAGGCTGGGCCCGGTGGCTCATGCCTTGTAATTCTAGCACTTTGGGAGGCCACAGCAGGTGGATCACAAAGTCAGAAGTTCAAGACCAGCCTGGTCAATATGGTGAAACCCTGTCTCTACTAAAAATACAAAAATTAGCTGGGCATGGTGGTGCGCGCCTGTAATCCCAGTTACTCAGGAGGCTGAGGCAGGAGAATCGTTTGAACTGGGGAGGTGGAGGTTACAGTGACTGGAGATTGTGCCACTGCACTCTAGCCTGGGTGACAGAGCGAGACTCCATTTCAAAAACAAACAAAAAAAAAGTGATGATTAATTAATTAATTAATTTTACATGTCAACTTGACTGGG